TCTTTGTACCTGAATGGAATTCTTATAATTTGGATGTAGGAAAGGTTGTGCAGCGCTTGGAATTTTTACGATTTTACTTTAATACATTTTACACCGCAGTGACAGGCGTGCTCGAGCCTGATTAGCTATGCGTTAGCCGCCCGTAAATTCCATAAAAAATTAATACTCTGTTTCCGCCCCCCGAAGCACACCGTTCAATGTCAATATGACCAGTAAATCTTTATAACGGGACGATCATTTGTCAAGTAACCTGCTAGAACCGTCGTTAGAAGCTGGTAACCCTTTTCCCGGAAAGACGTGAGTGCAAATGCTAACATACTACACTTTAGTTGCAAAGGTGTCTTCAAGGTCTTTCGTGGCCAGAATCGCGGCCACCCCGTACCAGGCAGACTGCAGAATGCACGGTGTTGCAAACTGAAGAAAATTTCCTAGGGGACTGTCTGACTGACCGTGTTCAGTGTATGTACAATTTCATGGGCAGCTGCACAGGACCCACACAGCATACTTATTCGAACGGTGGTTGCCGTTTCTGCTAATCAGATTATGGATGCTGATCATTTGCGTATCGCTGCTGCATCAGTGCGAAAGCGCTCCAATTATGCTATCAGGAGCCTTCATATTTTGTCGAATTTCCTGGCGTAACACATTCTTTCGCGTATAAATCTTTGTTTGTTGTGACAATCGTGTACATTATGCGCGTAGTGTTGAACAATGTAACAGTGTTCAGAGGCTAAATATGTATCAGCGTTTCAGAGGAAGTCTTACGTGGAGCCGTACATTAATTTATAAAACCGGCCTTTATTTTATTAGCGCATTGTGCCTGTACGCATTTAGTTTTTCATCGGGCGCAATCGCGTTACATCTTCTGGGTGAATTTATAGGTTGTTCGGCGCGTCGGATATGGTATTCAAAACTGCTGTAAGCTTTTAAACTGCCTTTTATAACGTTATTGCTAGTTAGCTCACCTTCCTTCAATAAAAAAAACGTTACAGGTTTACTGAAGGAACCAAAAGTTTATCAAGCATTTCTTTTTCCCTTCTGAACACCCGTTCAATCCACTTTCGTAAAAAGACCGGTGGTTCGTTCGTGAAATCATGCGCTTTCTTTTGCTGTGTTTTGGATTACGAAAAAGCAGTTAATATCTCTTTTACATACGATTTTCTCCGTTTTTATA